TTATTTCTACTTTTGTGGTGGCGGTCTTCTCTGATTGTGGTATTTCGCGTCCCAATCTTTGATTGATTGGATCAATTTCTCCTTCTGTTCTCTGGTCATCCGGGCCCACTCCTCCGGATTCGCTCTCCTGGGTCGAGCCACAGGGCAGCCGGGGGGTCCCATGAAAAACGGCCTTGCATTTGGGTCCATTTGGCCCCTGGTTCTCTGGTTCTGATTCGGTTCTGCTCTGGGTGGGAGTTGCCTCGGTTGAGAACTCACTGATTGGCTCCCTTGTTGTTGGTGTGGAGGGGGCAGAGGGGATGGTATCTGACTTTTCAACCTGTTTCCGGCCTGCCGTCCTAATTCGTTTTTTGACTGCTTAAATTCCCTTGTGCGATCCCACGCCTGCGCTTGTCTGATTTTTTCTGCACGGGAGAGATTAGGCCACATCGCAGCCATCATTAATCCCCCGGGCAGATCAGCTAAAAGTTTTTCCTGCTGGACCTGTGAAAGCCCTGCGATTGTTCCCAAACACCCAGCTAATGTAACTTTTCCTGTACTGATTTCAGAGCTTAAAGCCTTCCTCCGTCGTTCCCCAGAATCCTCACCAATCCCTCTGGGAGAACTCTCCGCCAGGGACATCAACGAGGCTCCTGGGGTTAAACGCAGATCGTTCTTTAATGCTATAACTTGAGAAATTTCTGGACTTGAAAGTTGTTCAATCGTCATACCTCGATCCTGAAGCCGCTGTACATACCCAGCGTCTGTCTCACCCGATGCTCTTTGTGGCAGAATGGTATGATCAAAATGTCCTAAGCTTACTCTTGACTGTTCCTGAGCAGTTTGCCAATATGGGGAATATTCCTGTTCTAGGATTCTCTCTTTAGGCATTGAATTAAGCTGTCCTCCCTGCGGAGTGCTTCGGTTTACATCCAAAGGTTGGGAGGGGCTGCACGGCGAGTAGCAGTGAGTTTTCACTGCCGAATCTCTAGCCATACATCCACCTCGATAAAAATCATATCCTTGGCCTAAATAAGCATGCTTAAAAGGTTGCCCCCATCCTGGTTGCAACATGACTTCTTCCCTACTTTTTGCTGCTTGAATTGCTGAAGCCGTGCAGCCATCTACAGGGTACCAGTCTGGAAAAGGATTTTCTGCTACTTCTCCTGCATAATTCTGGTCTCCCTCTGTATTAATTGCAAACTGGCCTCGTCCTGGTTCTGGAACCGGTCTAACTGGGCCTATGTTAGGAGGTGCCTGAGGGTCATAATATTTCATCTGTACTGGACGGCTTTTCTTATTTAGTCCTCTAATGCCATAAACCATAGGATTTGTCTCATCTCCTTTTTCTGCTCTCTGGGGTTGCTGCTCTACATTTTCTCTGTTCTCACCTTGCTCATGGGCTGTAACTGGGGATAACCAACTCACTTTTTCAGGTGTTTTGCCTCCAGGGATCCGAGTGCTGCATTTTTGATGGGATTCGCATTCTGACTTGAGCGTCCCTTTGGGTGTGCCACGCACCACCAGTTGGGAACCCTGTTCTTCCTCCGATTCAGCCTCACTCTCGCTGCTTCTGTCTCTGGCCTCAAACCAATGTTTGACTTTCTTCTCTACTCGCGGCAAGGCTGACTTATCCACTAAAATTACGACCGGGATGTCTCCTAACCTGCTAGAGGCTTCGGAATAAATCACCAAACCTGCACCATATGCTTCAGTTATCCGACACACCTGGGGTTTGTTATTAAGCTTAAACACTAGCCGTCGCGCTCCTAAATCCAAGGCTTCTGACACCACCCGCTCCCAAGCTTGGTGAAAAGAGATGTCGGGATTATGAGGGTCTACGTTAATTATGGAAATCGCGCTGACACGACCTTCCAGATTCCCTAATTGCTTGTCTAAGAGAGTAGTAATTTCTCCAGCTTCGTAATTACGATCTACCAGCGGAATCATAGAACTTCTGCATTCTGCCCCTAAAAGTCTCCTCAGAGAACTTAATGAGGACGTAGTACTGGCAGAACTTTGTGGATCTTTCAGAAAGATCAACACATCTTCTTCTCGGATCTCCGCATCTATTTTCTCGCCTGATAAAATTATCACCGGTTCTTGACCTATCATAACATGATTCGGAGGAGCCGCGGGACTATGCGGTTCTAACGGGGGAAAAGGGATTGGGTTTGGAGTCCTTTCAGCCCCGGACCGTCTCTGAGTCTCGTCTTTGTCCCACGCAGCAACATGCTGTTCAGTGGGCGGTCTCTCCGCTCCTCTCATGGGCACCTGAGAAGGGGTTTGTACATGTAGAAACGGGTTCCACTGCGCCGGCCGAACCGCGTCAGGCGGGTTCGGTGGGGGTGGAGGAAATCCGCTCTCGGAACCGGGGCTCACAGGGAATTCCCCGCGGAGCGCTGGATACAAAGGGGGCGCGGTCGGAACCGATTGGGCTTCATCCCAGGAGGCCGACATTTCAACTGCAGCTCGTCTCCGGTACATTTCCGCTTGGAGCTCCGTGATCCCCAGTCGGTTACATAACGCCTGTCTCATTTGAATTGCCTCATTTTTGCTTCTAGATAAGAAGTAAATTGTTCTACTATTAGCCCGTTGAACCACGAACTCCGCCATAGCAGAGTACATCGCTCCCTGATCACATCGGTACTGCCCGACTCCAAATGGAGTGAGAACTAAAGGTTCCGGTCCAATTGGTATTTGCTCAAGTAATCCCAGAAGGATCTCATACTGCTCGCCCGTGGGGAGTTTCGCTGGATTTTCCCAACAACACCACGCTATCTGATTAAAAACAGGATCATTTTGTTGTTCTGCTAGAATCACCAAATCACCCACTAACGGAAATACATGATTATTCTTTACTTGAGTTTCAGCATTCGGACAGCGCTCCGCTGCGGCTTGAGCCGTTTCGGCCTTGTTATGAAAGCTCCGGTTACAGGATACTGCTAAAACGCTTTGTGGTTCACCTTGAAATGTCGCTATTTCTCCGGTGACAAATCTCACATTAAGGAGAACATTTTCCGGTTTTACCGTTAAAGATCTATCTGCCATGGCTGGTTGAAAGTTTCTCTTTTTTATTATTTGTTTTATTTTTATTCGTTTTCACGTCTTATTCTTTATTTTTACTCTTTATTCCTTTTTATTTTTTGCCTAGCTTTTATCCTTGGCTTTTCTTACGTCGGAAAGCCGTGATTTCTTTATACCTCTTTGAGTTAATCGTCCGTTCTCCCAAATTTCCTTCCTTTTCGAGAAATTGGTGCGGTTTTCGCTCCAAGGTTATAAGCTTATCAGGTCCATAATGCGTAAGCTTTTATCAGCCTAAAAGACATAGTTCTACGTCGAATAGTCCGGTATCTAATATTTAAACCTTCGCCGATTAGCCTCACGTTGCAGGCGCCATGTCGTGTGCCCGTCCCATTTACCGGTTCCTTTAAAACCCAGTTCCGTTAGAACTTATGAGACGGTGCATCCATCAGGGTTCGGGGGTGTATCGACGAGTATAATCGTACCAGACCCGGGTTTGGACTACCTAATTAGAATCTTGTCTTTTATTTTAAAGGTGAAATGACTTGCACGAATAGCCAGCCTCAGAGTGCTACACTTCTTTTAAACTCGTTACCTTTTGGTTAAGATACTAGAGAGAAGTCTGGAGGCAAGCCAAGCCTCCCAGCAATTGTTTGGGCTACCCGGAATTAATTGCGCCTCTAACAGCTTATGTGGGAGGTTGGTAACTATAAAATGATTTATGCTAGTTGATCAGGCTAACATAAGTTTATCAATTTATTTATTAATCCAACCTTCCAGCTGATTAGAGACTTTTTCAACCTGCAATCAGAGCCAAAATAACCTCGAATATTTTGCTTTTATCACCCTTAAGACAACTCGTTACTCGCAAGGGGAGAGAAGTTAAAACTTCCCTTATCTTAAGGTTTCTTTATATTATTCTGTTATAAACTGTAAAGTAAGTCCTGATAATTCAGAGACCGATCTTCGACATGCTTACCTCTGTGCAATTATGGCCAGGGCTCCAAACGTGAAGCTTTAGAGAAAACCTGAAAGAATCAGGATTATGTTTCTTTTTCAAAAAAGGTTTATTACAAAATCAAAATACAAAAATGGGTAAAGTGAAAAACAACTACTATCCCCCACGGAGGAATTAGTTCAAAATGAATAAATAAGAGTCAGTTTACACCAGCTCTTGTCTTCTCAGAATCTCCCCAAGAACTGAAGAACAAGACCCCCGCTCGATCTGAGCTGCATCCTTTTATATCATTTCTGAGACTGCTCTAAACAATGCAAGAGTCACAAGTCATTCTCTCCTGACAGTTTAGGTCAAGGGGTCATCTACCAGATACACTTTTTTAGCTCTACATAAGACATTTGGTATCATTTCACTACATGCAGTATTCACATGAGGGCACAAAAGTTACATTCTGCACTCCTGGAATGAGAGCACAGGTCATAAATCTTCATATTGGTAGCAAATTGTAGATCTTCTTCCAGCATTCCTGAGAGTTCCTGGGTCCAGCTGGACTTCTCCTCACTCCATGCCATTCCTTCTTTTCCCGCCAGAGGTGGAGTTAGGGGCGGGCCCAGGGGTGTGTCCATGGGTGGATCTAGAGAAGACAGCTTGTCTTTTGACCCTTTGCCTAGTTCTGTCCTCACCAGCAAGTCCTGAACTCCTGTCCTCTTGACCCTTGTGTGACCCTTGTCTCTGACCACTGTTTCTAAGCCTTGACTGGTTGCTCGGGCTTGCAACAAAGCTACTGATAGCAAATGCTACGGGCGATGCCTGAGCGTGAACGCGCATGAAGCAGCCTGCTCGACCCGAGCATCTCTCTTTTTCTGTGATTTTACAGAAAATCAGGCAATCACAATAAAAATGCCAGGGCTCATTCTACAGGACCAGGGCATTGCAGGAGAATGTATGAAGAAGACATTTATTATTTCTATACATGTTTTGGCTGTCAAACTTCCATAACGTCCCTTTAAGCCTCTCTTCCTGTTTTGCATCATCTCAGGGAGGTCCGAGCGTTGTGCCACCACATCGCCACCGAGCCGGGCCAGCTGAGCTTCAACAAGGGTGACATCATGCAGGTTGTGAGGAAGGCCGACGCCGACTGGCTGTTCTGCTCTTTGGGTTCCACGCAGGGTTTGGTTCCCATCGTCTACGTCACCCTCAGCGGCACAGAGGACAGCCGCGACACCGCTGGACACGCACAGCTCTGAGCTAAAGCTCCTCCCACTATCTTGAAAAACCTCAACTATCCACAAGACAAAACGACAGAACTCTGCAGGTCGCTTCTGTCCAGTGGACAAAAACCCAGATCAGTTTTCAGCCGTTCTTGAGAGAATGCTCAGGGTTGTTCCTTGGAAGCATGCAGGTCCAAACAATCCGATTCAGAAAGTGCATGAAAACCTCCAAAAGACCAGACGTGGAACAAACCCAAAGACTTCTGCCTCGCTGTCCTATTAGCTTAGCAACCCTAGCATCTGGTCTGTCCGGCGGCCATCTTTCTCACAAAATGAGACGAGTTTGTTAAACTTTCAGCTGCTGTTTTCATCTCAGATCTGTGTGGAGATCCTGATTTGTCCCATTACAAAGATCAGATCACTTTCACTGCTACGGCAGATTTTAGCTTCATGTGCTTCTCCTTCAGGTACTAGATGAGCAATGAAAGCTAAACAAGTTCCAGCTGCTGTTCTTCCACTTCCTGCAGAGAAAACTTCACATGGCTGTTCGTTTGCGTTTTATTTCCCAGGAGGAGACACTAGATGAATGGTTCTTATTTTGCATATTTGTGTTAAAAATCATTCTGTCAGAATTTAAACCAGATTAGATTAAAGTTCCCAAACTTTTCACACTTCATCTGATGATTCCAGGCTCTGTGTGTGTGTGTGTGTGTGTGTGAGAGAGAGAGAGAGAGACGTCATTTCATGCTGTTTTGTAAATATATTTATAAATAATTCTTATGATTTCTTTCTCTTAAACCATTTGTTTTAAGTGTCTGAAGGAACAGCTGAAGGAACAGCTGAGTGAAAAGCTGAAGGAACAGCTGAGAGAAAAGCTGAAGGAACAGCTGAGGGAACAACTGAGTGAACAGTTGAGGGAACAGCTGAAGGAACAGCTGAGGAAACAGCTGAAGCAACAGCTAAGGGAACAGTTGAAGGAGCAGCTGAGGGAACAGCTGAGGGAAAAGCTGAAGGAACAGGTGAGAGAATAGCTGTTGAGGTGGAATTCCCGGTTTTGGATGTTCTTTAAATTATTGCTAAATATTTTTATGAATTGCATAAAAAATTGGTGAAATATTTTATTCTTGCCTTAAAAACTCGAGAGGAAATCCACTAAAATCCATCCAGACATCAAAATGTATTTTACGCAATGCTGTTTATTTGTACTTAGACACTTTTGTCCATTTTCTGAGCTCTGAGAGGATTGTGAAGATATTTATGAAGATATTTTTGGATGTTTAAAGGGACCCAACCCCCCCCCCCACACACACACACACACACACACAGGTAAGGTTGGGCCTAGCGTTTGATGTTCCAGAATCAGCCCAGTCCAGATAAATCTGGATGATTACTGTAAATGTTGACATAAATGGATGCTTGTTTTCACTCTTGTTCGTTGGTTTCTGCAGGTGAACATTTGATCATCCTTGGATTGTAAATATATTTGAACCACTCAGTGTTTTGTTGTTTTTGCCATAAAGCTCTGAAGTATGAATGTTAGTAACTGTGTTTGATGCAGGAAGCAGAAGCTTTAGATTCACTGCAGATGACCTGCTGCTTGTGTGTGTGTGTGTGTGGGGGGGGGGGGGGCGTTGGACGGAGACACATTAGGACAACTGGTGTCCTCTCCGTCACCAGGTGTAAATACCTTCAGCATCAACATCTCTGCTCCTGCTTCTACGGCGTTCATCAGACAGTAGATGTTCAATAACAGAGTGCTCCTGTGATCACTAACCTGCGTGTCTTCTCTTTCACTTACAACCCAATAAACCGAAAGATGCAGCTTAAACTGTCTTCTGCTCTTTAATAACTCCACATGTCAGCAGAAAAATACAAAACCAGGTTTTAGCTTTTTGTACATATTTATTTGCCCTATAATGTGATCTGTGCATTCATGATCATTTGTTGTTTTTCTAAAAATTCCGACTTCACACAGACGCTCCGGCCTTTCTGCTGCAGAAGCAGAGTTTAGATGAGGGAATTGCACCAATGATCCTTTCCTTCTGCCATTTTAAATATAAATATTCATCACATCTCAGTCAAAATCACTTGGAGTCACTTAGCAGGGGCTCCAGAGCCCTGGTTTGGGGTCCACTACCAGGGGGGGGGGGGGGGGGGGGGGCTGTTTCTTCTTCTAAGCAAATTTTGGACTTTTATGTTTTAGTTTTATAAACGAAGCTCATAAGGAGTGAGAATCTGTAGAAGTGACTGAAAATGCCACCAGGAACAGAAGCCATGACTACAAGCCTTTTTGGAACTGACACTGAAGAAAGCTGACAGTTCTCCCTAAAATGAACCAAAAAAGAAAACTGATGGTGGTTGTACACCAGACCCCCACTAGAGGGCAGTGTCAGGTCAGGCTAGGAGACGCTGGCTTTGGGGGTTTAGGAAACAATTAACAGAATAAATAATTTGTTGATGTAAACGTGATCTTTGGTTGGTTACGGTTGTGCGTTCATTCTGAAGGGTTTTTATATGAAGTTTATTTATACAGAAACAGTTAATGTTACATTTTTTTGCTCGTTTTGGAACTGTTGTTAGAAATGTTAGGTAAAAACTGATATTAAAATTCTTGAACTAATATTAATGTCTTGACTGTTAAACATCTTGTGTCTTTTTAAACGTAGCTTCATCCTTTTTCATTCTGTTGATAGATACCAGGCTCAAGCAGGTCCTACAGGGAGGAGTAGGTTTTAGGAGGATGACCTTGCCTTGGCACTGACCTTTATCAGTAAAACTCCCCTGAGAAAGTCTAGCGATTGCTTTGTTGATTTAGTGCACCTGGAGAAAGTTTAGACTCCCTTTTACAGCTTCCCACCTGAGAGTCTAAGGAATGTCAAAATGTGTGTGCGTTAATCTTTGTGTGTGTGCTTAATAAATGCTTTCGGAGGACGTCAGTCGGATAAGAGTGAACTGAGACCCGTTGTCTGGTGTATATCTTTTCCTCTCCACTTTGCAAAGTCTTAATTGAAGACGTGTGGATATTCGGTCTGATGATCACTGGATTTCTCCTGATTGGAGTGGGAGGATTTCTGGTTTTCTGGAAATTTGGGAAGACGGGAGCGATTGGAGGGTGACCCGCACCCGCAGAAGGCACCGTCCGTGTGGAGACTTCTCAGACTGGGACGTTACTCGAGGTGAATCGTGAGCTGGACAATGTTCTAGCTGCGATACCGGTACTAGTGCGCAAAATGGATGTCATCTCGGAGAGAGTCACCGGACAGTGTGGACAAGTTTAAAACCCAAAATTAGCGTCACTGAAGGACTGGAAATGATCAGTTTAAAGACTGAAGGCAGAGAGGATCTCAGCCTGACCCAAACAAAGTCTTGTTATCTGAATCTGACGCCCTGGTAGCCTTGAGCGGCGAGCAAATAAAACCCCCACGAAGGAATGCAGACAGATGCTGTGAAAACCTGACACACACACACACACACACCCCCCCCCCCCCCCCGCCTTCAGATTGGTGGACTTCAGCCTGGTGAGGTCATCAACCTGCAGGAGTCAATGTGCTCTTCGCTTCTCCCAAGAACTCCCTCCCACCTGTGACTGTACAGTGGCTGAGCGCCGTAGATGGCTGCTCTCGCTGGGGGAAACAGGATCCCAGCCCCCCCGCCTTCCTATTGGAGTCTCATGTTATGTTATGGTGTCTGAAGTCTTGCATATCTGTGAGGTGTTTTTTTGCAGAGCAAAGCTGCCCTCCTGGTGGGAGGGTAACTCTGAAGTGCCTTTTTTTCCCTCCACCTGAACCAATCCTCATGTAACCCTCTTATCTCTATTAAGGTAGCGCGACTCAGGGTTGCGAATGACCACAGTCCCCAATTCTTGTCATGTGTCTTGCCCATGTATGTCTGATCTCTGAATTGTGTGTACTGAAACTTTAATTTCCCTCTGGGATTAATAAAGGATTGATTGATTGATTGATTGATTGATTGATTGATTGATTATGATTGGTATTGGTATTGATTGATTGATTGATTGATTGATTATGATTGGGATTGATTGATTGATTGATTGATTGATTGATTGATTGATTGATTGATTGATTGATTGATTGATTACTATAACCCCCTGTGCTTTGAACTTTCCCTAAGGTAATCTTGGATTGATAAAATTACCCAACAAGAAATAAAAGTGGGAAAAAAATAAACACAGTAAAAGTCACACTTTGTGTCATGTGATGACTTGATGAGTTTGACCCTCACCTCAACGTTTGGACATCCCTGTTCCTCTGATCTAGCATGACTCGTGCTAACCTGGTCGCTAACAACGTATAAATAACATCATCTCCAGTGTCAGAGTTAGTCACCTGACACCAGCTGTTTGTTTGTTGAAAGATGAACTTTGTTCTGATGCCAAAGACAAAATCCTCCATAGTTAAAACGTCACTCTGGATTAACACCAACACCATGGTGTGTTACTGGATTAATACGATGTGGTGGTTGTTTCTAAAGGTAGTAAAACTTTTATAGGTGGCTGTTCTGATGGTTTTATCAATAATAAATCATATTATTCCCTAAAAAATAAGCTATTTTTACATCTAAAGCACATTTGGAAAACTTATTTAAACGAAACCCAACCATCGGACCATCTGGTTGTTGGTCTCACTGAACCGCCGCACCACCCTGGGTCCTCCAGTCATCACACAGTCACGTATTCAGCAGCAGAACACCACTGGTGTGAGAGGTTCTCCGCTCAGTAACATCAGAGAAGGAGAAACAGCTGGCTGCTACCACTTCAGATTTAGGACAAACTACCAGAGTCCCAAAAAGAAAATCACCATCTGAAGTCGTGGACAACAGAAGGTGTTTGGAGCTAGAAAACAGCGACTGGTGTTTAGCGCCGTCTTGTTTCATCTGGCAGTGTGGGGTTCTGGTGTCAGGGGGCGTGGCCTAGGGATGATACCTGAGGGGGGTGAGTGTTCCATGACTGTGCTTGCTCTGCAGATTGGCTATAACAGCTTTAAGTGTAAAAAGGCAGAAAGGTGACCGTCAGCATGAACGTACGACCTTGTTGTCGTCGTTGTCTTCCTCCGCTTATCCAGGTCTAGGTCGCGGGGGCAGCATCCCAACTAGGCAGCTCCAGACCGTCCTCTCCCCGGCCTTCTCCACCAGCTCCTCCGGCAGGACCCCAAGGCGTTCCCGCACCAGATTGGAGATGTGACCTCTCCAACGTGTCCTGGGTCGACCCGGGGGCCTCCTGTCGGCAGGACATGCCCGAAACACCTCCCCAGGGAGGCGTCCAGGAGGCATCCTGACCAGATGCCCAAACCACCTCAACTGACTCCTTTCGATCCGGACCTCGTTGTCCTTTTAGGGACTCCAGGTAGTCCTCTCATGTCTGTCTAACCTCAGCGAGGGGAGACTGCAAAATGGTGTGACTAAAACAAATTCTTCTGGACTGGTGGTAACTGGTGATAAAACGTGACCATCCCCCTTTGTCTTCACCTTCAGCTTTACGGAATACCAGGATGATGAGTACGGGAGCCTGGTGAGCAACGTTGCTGCATGGTGCCATACGAACCACCATGAGATGTGCCATGTGCACCATCATTACCTTCCTGCATTTTGCTCTCTCTCTCTTATTAATCACAGTTGGATGTTTTAAGGCTGAGAATCAGAACTCAGAGGATTTAATGAAGTTCCTCTGAGTCGGTCTCAGGCTCAAGTCTGAACTTCTGTTATTGTGTGGAACCAGACTGTTACTGGGGAAGAGGTTGGCTTCATTTCTGTTTAGCTTGTTCGGAGCCCATCTCAACAAAGAGCTTTTGGACTACCTGACAGGAGTCCGTTTTCCATCATTCTGCCGTCGGAGAAAAGGCCCAGATGTTTCTTTATTCAACTGAATTTAACTTTCAGTCCTGAAACCTTCCTGGTTTTTCAGAATCACTGAGATTTTGGTGAAATTCTAAGTAAACAAGGATATGTGAGACGCTCCTTGGCCCAAAACTCAGAGTAGAAAACTGTGAAAAGGAGTCCGTCAATCCTGCTAATCCCAGACTTTTTAGTTTGTCACAAAAAACTAAAACTTTATGCTTCAGTTTGTAGAAAAATGTCAGATGAGCAACATTTGAACAATAAGAGGAAACACGTGGAAAACATCTAAACAGTTAAAACTTCATCTCTACTAACTACAGCAGTTACATAATAACTGAGTTTTCCTTTGATGTGAAACAAAACGCCAAAAACAGTCCAGAGATGTTTTCATTGATTTATTCATCATTTCTATTCAAGAGCCTCATCAGCAAAGAGCGACACATAAAAGAGGAACAAACAGGATTTATGATCAAAAGTTCATAAGGTCTCATGGTTTCGTTCACAGTAATAAGTTATTTCGTGTTGCTGCAAATCACGACGTGATTTTCTTTGACACATTTCAGTACAGAAGTGAAACAAATTTGTAACAGAAAAATCCAAACCAAACGATGTTTTATGGAAAAGACAAAGACTGGAGAGGGAAACTTGTCTTTTGGGGTCCGGAGGTTTCAGCCACATCTTCTCTGGTTTTTCACTCGGGCTTCACTCCGAAGCAGCGCGTGTGCTGCAGAAATAATCACAAGCAAAATCAGTGATTTCAACAGAACTTCCTGCTTCTGCTTAAAACGTGAACTCAGGCATGAAGCCCAGACGGAAATCTATGGCGCGGTATGGGGGCCAAAATTAAGACTACTGCCCAGCAGCAGGAGGCTATGTAAATTCCGAAGCAAACTACTGATCTGATTAATGATAAGCTGGCGCCGGTGTTCTGGGAATTTCTCCTACCCGGTAAACCGTCCTACCCGTTGTTTCTGAGCATGTGCGCGCATGCGCACAACACAAAAAGGGAATGCAACTCCGTTGTCCGTATTTGCAGGAAAATAGGTAAGTTGTAAGTATTAGTACTTTTTATTGACGTTGATACTTGATTTTTTGGGTTAGGTGGAGTAGATGGAGTAGATAAATCTCAGTGAGTTCCCCCTGAATCAGTAGCTTAACCGAAACAGTTGAATAGGGAGTCACTGGCAATGCACGGGCCGTCGCGTGTCACTCTAGAACTCCCCTCCAGTTGTTGGTTCGTCTTAATGGGTTAGGGTTAGGGTTTGTGTCACGTAAAACACCGTAAAATTATCCCACGGGTAGGACGTTTTGCCAAAGTAGGACGTTTTCTCAGAACACCGGTAACTGAGAGGCTGGCGCTGCTTACTGAGAAATAGCACCTTTACTGGCGTTACTACTAGATATGCTAGGGACTAGCAGCCCTCGGCTGGTCACTGACCGGTTCACACACTCCCTCTGCTGTCTATTAGCATGGATAGGCTAGCGTTAGCCTGGACGGGCTGATGTTAGCATTAGAGAGGCTTGCCATTAGCGTGCCTAGGCATGCCACTAGCTGGATTTCTTACCTCCTCGACAGACCTTTAGCATGGATAGCCTGGCGTTAGCATCGGAGAGGCTAGCCATTAGCGTACCCAGCCATGCCACTAGCTGGATTTCCTACCCCCTTGACGGACCTTAAGTATGGATAGGCTGGCATTTGCATAGGAGAGGCTAGCCATTAGCATGTCTCGGAGAGTCACTAGTCAGCTAGTGGCCAGCCTAGGCACGCTAATGGTCCGTCAAGAGGGTAGGAAATCCAGCTAGTGGCATGCCTAGGCACGCTAATGACTAGCCTCTCCAATGCTAACACCAGCCCGTCCAGGCTAACGCTAGCCTATCCATGCTAATAGACAGCAGAGGGAGCGTGTGAACCAGTCAATGACCAGCCGAGGGCTACTAGTCCCTAGCATATCTAGTAGTAACGCCGGTAAAGGTGCTATTCCTCAGTAAGCAGCGCCAGCCTCTCCGTTACCGGCGCCAGCTTATCATTAATCAGGTCAGTAGTTTGCTTCGGAACTTATATAGCCTCCTGCTGCTGGGCAGTAGTCTTAATTTTGGCCCCCATACCGCGCCATGCCAAACAGCCTGAAAGGAGCTGAATCGGTCCTTCAAAAAGTAAACGAGACCTGAGCCGGGACCACAGAGATGCTCCATCTCCACTCACCCTGACCCTAACATCTCTGGAAACTCCTCCAGCTGTGTTGTTTTGGTATTTTTTATAGATTCAAATAAAAAATATTCCTCTGGAAAATAATAACATTTGAAAAAAGAAAACCAGCTAAGGTCCGAGCGTCTGGAAAACGAATCGAGACAACTTTAAAAAGTGAGCAGAAGTTAAATGAAAATGACTAAAAGGACTCCTCTGCCCAGAGCCATGAGCTGAACGTTTATCGCCGCTTCAGACCAAACCCTCACCCCGACGTTCCTCCAGCTGCGTGGAGAGGAGAATGAACTGAAGTACCTGGTAGTTCTTCTTCTTGCACAGCTTCTTCAGGCGATCCACATGTTTCATGACTTCTTGCAGCCACGGTTCGTTGGGGGGGGTGCAGAGTTCCCTCCCTCGTCTGGTCACAAGACTGCAAGAAAAACCAGATCATTCCTGTTCAGAGGGATGGACCTGATCGGAATCTGGTCTTCGGTTCTGGTTTTGGAAAACTCACATCATGGCTGGAAGACTGCAGCCTTTGGCCTGTTCTCGGTAATCTGCCACCAACTTTTTATCGATCCTTTTGTTTTTGGTCGACAAGCAGCAGTCGATGGGCATCTGTGAGACTGACACTGGAAGAAAAAATCAACTTGTTTTTGATTGATTGTTTTTCTGGAAAGAATTGAGCAAATATCCCATTTCTAGGAATTGTATCAGCCATTAAAAAGCAGGACTGGACGAGAGGCGTTTAAGGGCAGCTGCTCCTCATGAAGAAGGGAAATGATTATTTACAACCTCCTGTTAGACAGTAACACACTCAGGACAGAGGTGGCCTACAATGTGAAACAACTGAGGAGAGAAAAGAGCAGTCAGTTTTAATTTTGCTTGTTTTTACTGGAAGTCTGACGTTCCACAGGAGAGGCGTGGCAGGATGGGACTTTCCGCCACATCAGTGTGAGAAGTTACAGAAACATCAAACGATATCGATAACTAGTCAGAGAGGGTAAACTAGCTCTGTGCTCTTTTCCTTTAAACATTCAAACTAAAACTTTATTGTTTCAGAAGAAATGAAAGCTGCAAAAACAGGAACCTAACGTACCTGATAAAGTAACAGGGTGTGTGTGTGTGTGTGTGTGTGTGTGTGTGTGTGTGTGTGTGTGTGTGTGTGTGTGTGTGTGTGTGTGTGTGTGTGTGAGAGAGGGGGGGGGAGGAGTGATGGAAACGTTTCACAGCTCAGAAATTTGCTTTTGCATCACAAACAAAACCTTCAGTCTGTTTAAGGATGCAGTCAAAGATCAGATTCAGATTCAGATTTCAGATTTATTGGCCAAGTAAAATTACATTTACAAGGAATTTAGCTTCAGTAGATGTTCTACCGATTAGATTAGAGATTAACTCTCTCTCTCTCTCTCTCTCTCTCTCTCTCTCACTCACTCACTCGCACGCACGCACGCACGCACGCACGCACGCACGCACACACACACACACACACATCTACACACACTCTGCTGCTGCAGCTGCCTCATCTATTCTGCTCCCTCATCCTGAATTTATTCTCATTTAGTTTCCATCAACAAGAAAAGAGGGGGGGGGGGGGTCCCACACCTCGTATATTCAAGCACCCCGCCCTCCACACACACACACACACACACACACACACACACACACACACACACACACACACACACACACACACACAATGATATCATGCTCACCTCACAGAAACACAGATGATTTAGTCATCTGTTTTAAAGTTCTCTTCTTTTTTCATCCATCAAATATAGTAAGGTATAGTAAAGCTAAATATAGTAAAGTATAGTAAAGCTAAATATAGTAAAGTATAGTAAAGCTAAATATAGTAAAGTATAGTAAAGCTAAATATAGTAAAGCATAGTAAAGCTAAATATAGTGAAGTATAGTAAAGCTAAATATAGTAAAGTATAGTAAAGCTAAATATAGAAAAGTATAGTCAAGTTAAAAATAGTAAAGTATAGTAAAGCTAAATATAGTAAAGTATGGTTAAGCTAAATATAGTAAAGTATAGTAAAGCTAAATATAGTAAAGTATAGTAAAGCTATATATAGTAAAGTATAGTAAAGTTAAATATAGTAATGTATAGTAAAGCTAAATATAGTAAAGTATAGTAAAGCTATATATAGTAAAGTATAGTAAAGCTATATATAGTAAAGTATAGTAAAGTTGAATATAGTAAAGTATAGTAAAGCTAAATATAGTAAAGTATAGTAAAGCTAAATATAGTAAAGCATAGTAAAGCTATATATAGTAAAGTATAGTAAAGTTAAATATAGTAATGTATAGTAAAGTTACATATAGTAAAGTATAGTTAAGCTAAACATTGTAAAGTATAGTAAAGTTAAATATAGTAAAGTATAGTAAAGCTAAATATAGTAAAGTATAGTAAAGCTAAATATAGTAAAGTATAGTAAAGCTAAATATAGTAAAGTATAGTAAAGCTAAATATAGTAAAGTATAGTAAAGCTAAATATAGTAAAGTATAGTAAAGCTTTATATAGTAAAGTATAGTAAAGTTAAATACAGTAATGTATAGTAAAGTTACACATAGTAAAGTATAGTTAAGCTAAATATTGTAAAGTATAGTAAAGCTAAATATAGTTAAGTATAGTAAAGCTAAATATAGTACAGAATAGTAAAGTTATATTTTGATAAGTATAGTAAAGCTAAATATTGTAACGTTTAGTAAAGCTAAATATAGTAAAGTATATTAAAAGCTAAATATAGTAAAGTCAAAAGTTGTAAAGTATAGTAAAGTTAAATATAGTAAAGTATAGTAAAGCTAATATTGTAAAGTATAGTAAAGCGAAATATAGTCAACTATAGTAAAGCTAAATATAGTTGTTAGGTTATTTTTAGTTTCCATAACCCTTGAACCTGAACTAAGCACACACACAGAGGGGAGTTAGTTCATTTTACCAGAGGTGGAAAGAGTACTACAATTTCCTATTTAAGTACAAGTACCAGCACTTTGATAATTTTTTACTCAAGTACAAAAGTACTCTCCTAAATTTTTACTCAAGTAAAAGTAAAAAGTATCATAAATAAAATGTACTCAAAGTAAAAATCACTTAGTTACATTTTTTGTCAGCGTAAAGATGGTTACATCAGTGCAAAACCACAACACCAGTTCACAACACGCTCGTGTGTGCAAACACACACGGTTTGATGGAAGGATTTCTATCCAATCAGTGAGAACAGGACGTGCACATTGATTGGACGAGGTTTTTCTAGGATTGTACGTTTCAATTGGTATTAAAATTATTCATTATTTTGAAGAAAAAAAGTTAATTTTTAGACACCATCAGTATGTGAGGTATCTCAATGTTCTCATGACAAAACTCTAATATGAGACTGTGCTCTAACCTGTCACAAAACAAGCAAAATGAGAGTCAAACATTTAAAATGGACCGTATGACAGCTGTTAACGTTGGTCCTGCCCTACTTTACCTCTACATTACAGTTCCTTTATCCATGTCCATCCTAGAGCTCCTCTATGAACTTCATGCGTATTTAGAGCAGCTGATTTTTATAGTTAGCAGAGTTCGTCCTTGGTAGTGGGTTCACTCACTCATTTAAAGATATCGGCCAGAGGCAAAATTCGTTTGAACAGCATGTGTAAATGTGTATTAAAACCTCAGATGTAAAAGGTTTTTGGATTTTGACGGATGGATTTGTAAGGAAATCTGATGTTTGTGACCGGCGCGGGAAAAACAGAAACTAACTTCCGGTCTAAGCCCTGGGCAGCTGGTGACGTTTCACATGGAGCTCTGCTGAAACAGCTGTAGTAAACAATGCCTGACTTTGGTGTTTCTGCGTTAGCGTTACAGCAGAGAACAATGTGTCATCAATCTGATGTAGCTTCTGAAGCCTCTACTAGTCATTCAGATTTGTTTTTTCTTTAGGGCATGGCGACGAGAAGGGATATTGGATTACCGGAGAAGTTCAACCGAACTCCGACCCCGCCAGCTGGATATCACTACCAGAGTTGCAGACATGTTTTAGACCATTGAACTCAGAAGACCTGTGTCCCGATTTGGACATAGAGGAGGATTCTGTTTATCTTCAGAACCAAAATCGGTACAGTTTGTTTACTTTTCTTAAATATTTCATTTGTGTGCTCCACTGGGAGCTCTAAGCTGACAAGTTCTCAGCTGGTCTTAGCTCCATCATGTGTCCCAATATAGTTCAGTAATCTACAGTTTTACTGCTGTGTGTGATTATTGATATAACTCTAGAAAATATTTAACCGACAATTTACCAGAATAAATCTTCCTGATGCTGGAGTAACTCCTTAGCTCAACTCGTTGTTGGCACTAATCCAGGATGTCATGGAGGTTCTAATTAGGGATGAGCGAGTACACCACTATCTGTATCTGTATCTGTATCTGTTCAACCATCTAAATGATCTGTATCTGTATCTGTACTCGGAGTGGGCGTGGCCTAACCCAGAAGTTGTTGTGGTTCACATTAATACGTTATTTTAAGTCTGATCAGAATTTGCTATGTGTATTGTTTATTTGAAAACTATTTACAGAGCAGCCTCAGAGTTGGGATTAAATGTTTTTGATCACAATAGTAAAGGAACTATTACAGAACAAGTTTTTCAATAAAATCAGAACATTAATATTTAAGTGCACGAACTATGAGAGAGAGAGAAGAAACAATCTTTTCTATAGCGCCTCTCAAGATAAAAATCACGGGGCGCTTCACAAAAACAAAGCATGTAAAATAGAAAAAAGAATTTAGAAAATGATTAAAATATATTTAGTGTTTAGAGTTACTGAGTTACAGGCTCGTTTCCTAGGATACCGCATTCCAGAGATATCAGTGGGCCTACAGAGGAGCATTCACACAGTCAAAATACAGGAAAGGACAGAAAGAATGTCCTGAGACATTCTTTAGGACTCAAAAAGGAACATTAAATACAGAAAAAAACCTATCAATAGTAAAGTATAGTAAAGTATAGTAAAGCTAAATATAGTAAAGTATAGTCAAGCTAAATATAGTAAAGTGTAGTAAAGCTAAATATAGTAAAGAATAGTCAAGCTAAATACAGTAATGTATAGTAAAGCTAAATATAGTAAAGTATAGTCAAGCTAAATATAGTAAAATATAGTAAAGTTAAATATAGTAAAGAATAGTAAAGCTAAATATAGTAAAGTTTAGTAAAGCTAAATTTTGTAATTATAGTAACGCTAAATTAAGTCAAATATAGTAAAGTTAAATATAGTAAAGTATAGTAAAGCTACGTATAGTAAAGTATAGTACAGTTAAATATAGTAAAGAATAGTAAAGCTAAATATAGTAAAGTTTAGTAAAGCTAAATTTTGTAACGTATAGTAACGCTAAATTAAGTTAAGTCAAATATAGTAAAGTTAAATATAGTAAAGTATAGTAAAGCTACGTAAAGTATAGTAAAGCTAAATATAGTAAAGTATAATAAAGTTAAATATAGTTAAGTATAGTAAAGCTAAATATAGTACAGATAAATATTATAAAGTATAGTTAAGCTAAATATAGTATAGTACAGTTAAATTTAAAAAACTATAGTAAAGCCAAATATAGTAAAGTATAGTAAAGTTAAATATAGTAAAGTATAGTAAATCTATATATAGTAAAGTATAGTAAAGTTAAATATAGTAAAGTATAGTAAATCTATATATAGTAAAGTATAGTAAAGTTAAATATAGTAAAGAATAGTAAAGCTAAATATAGTAAAGTTTAGTAACGCTAAATTTTGTAATTATAGTAACGCTAAATTAAGTCAAATATAGTAAAGTATAGTAAAGCTACGTATAGTAAAGTATAGTACAGTTAAATATAGTAAAGTTTAGTAAAGCTAAATTTTGTAACGTATAGTAACGCTAAATTAAGTTAAGTCAAATATAGTAAAGTTAAATATAGTAAAGTATAGTAAAGCTACGTAAAGTATAGTAAAGCTAAATATAGTAAAGTATAATAAAGTTAAATATAGTTAAGTATAGTAAAGCTAAATATAGTACAGATAAATATTATAAAGTATAGTTAAGCTAAATATAGTATAGTACAGTTAAATTTAAAAAACTATAGTAAAGCCAAATATAGTAAAGTATAGTAAAGTTAAATATAGTAAAGTATAGTAAATCTATATATAGTAAAGTATAGTAAAGTTAAATATAGTAAAGTATAGTAAATCTATATATAGTAAAGTATAGTAAAGTTAAATATAGTAAAGTATAGTAAAGCTAAATATAGTAAAGTATAGAAAAGCTAAATATAGTAAAGTCAAATAAAGTTAAGTATAGTAAGGCAAAAATATGTCTGCTTGAGAAAACAAAAGTACTAAAGTGTGAAAAACTCACATGAGCAACAGAAGGTGATGAAGATGAAGCTGCAGAGGAAGATCTTGGGCTCGCTCCACAAAGCCATGTCTGGTCCAGCTGCTGTCTGAACTCAAGTTTGTCTGACTGAGGAGTGAACGGACCGTCGTGGAGCTGCAGCTTTTTAAAGTAGTGACCAGGAACTTTCAGTTTTCTTTTCTTCTCACCTCAGCAGCAGCACAGGCCAGCCCTCCCTCTGGTAAACCCCTGATTCTGGTGTGAAGTTACAGGAACAGAAGAGGTATTGTACCGTCCTTTAGGACAAAGCTGCTGTTTCCTCACAGAAACAACTCAGTCTTCTTGTCCTCGTGAATGTTTTCCACCTTCTTCATGTCCATGAAGTGTTTTCTAATTGGTCCTGATTTCTTCCTCTTGCTGCTTGAGTCCTGACTCTCCTTCTAAACGTGAGCCTCCTCATTACGGAAAACCTGAAGCAGATTTATTCTCCTGGTGGTTCAGATCAGCCTCCAGAGCGGGCAGGTGAGTTTGAGCGTCACCTGGAGCCTGAACTGGACTTCTTGTTGATCTTTCGTTTATACGACAATCCAACACTGTCTGGTTTCACCTTTACACTGGTCACACCTGACCGGTCACCCTAGGAACAAAAACACACCTGTCATCCAGGCCCAAAGCCAGGCCCTCCTGACCCGGGTCAGGCTGGGGATCTCCTGGAAGGGCCAACTGGACATCGGGTCATCAGGTGCGTAAGGACGGATCTATGAAGGGGGGAACGAGTGACAGGTTGGTATTATTCAGCAACAGGAAACCAACTAAAGGCTAAGCCAACCTGCTTTTCAAAATAAAGCAGAAACAACTTTATTCTTTAGAAGTAAAATTTGAGATTTTCTAATATTTTCTTGAATTGAGTCTTGGTCTTTTAGAGTCTAATGGATAATTTTATTAGTATCTTCTGTTTGAGGAGCTTCATGTTCTTCCCTTAAACTGGGAATCCTGGGAACGGGGACTTTGCCTGTTGAGACCTTCTCCCTCCGGGGTCCTGGTGGTGTTCTGGACAAAACCTCAGAAAGCGAGGGGGCAGATCAGGACAGGAGGGTAAATCTGACGGCGAATCCGGTCTCTTCTCAGGATCCACATTCCTGGGAAGCTCCAGTGACTCTTTTCCTCTTTTCATGTTGGAATATGGAATCAACTCATTTTGAATGAGTGCAGAACTGCTTTTCTGTCACGTTTAATAAATTCAACACCTTTCACCCACCCGCTTCTGCAGTCCAACCGCAGCCGAAACGAGACGTTTGGTTTGTCTTTATTTGTTCTGATGATGGTTAAACGGTTAACATTTGGACATTCCTGTGTAAATACCACAGCCTAAAGGTAATGGGATTACTTCCTGGTGCTTTCCTCTCAACAGAAGCTCCCTGATGGAGTCCGTCTCACTACCTTTCCAGCCTCACAGGTGAATGCACCTGTCCTCACAGGTGGTGAGGGCCACTTTTATTTTTATTACTGTTACATAAATAAAAATACAATAAAATAGATCAACACATGGGTGTTTTAGTCCTCTGCTTCTGCGCCTCCTAGAGGTCACCTCCTCTGGTGACACTAGGGAGGTGATGCTCCCAGAACAGAGTAGGGATGATGTCACTGGAGGAGGCCAGACTGGAGATGGTTGAGGACCACAAGCATCTCAGAGCTCATGCGGACGATAAAGAGGCCTGGGACAGCGGAGGTTGTCTGTAGTGGACATGGGTGAACTGGTTTTGGGGTGGGAGTGGACTCTCTGACCAGTACCACTGGTGTGTGTCTCAAACTAGATTAGCCCTCTGATGCATGAATTATGAAATCTTAAACCATGATTTTTTTAAACAATTTTTTTAATTCATCTTTAGGTGTGAATGAAACAAATTTCATGTTTACATAGTTTTTGTGACATTTAATATACAAATGATTTATTACATGTCCACCTCAGTGGACAGCGTGCATTATGAACATGAAATATGTCGGCTTGACTTACTGAAGTCCAAATGGAGGGGCATCTGTGCTTAATAGCAAAAATAAATAAATAACAATTTTGAGTACCTGTCCACTGTAGTGACCGTTATGCATCAAAGGGTTAAAGAAGCACATCGGGGCTCTTCCTGTGCCTCAGGCACAATCACAGTAGCGTTTAGAGGAAGTTCAGGGGAACACCTTTACTGAACGTTCTCCAGCTCCAAACCATCAAGTCTTTTCCCGCTTTTGGAGCCCAGACATAAAAAAACAAGACTTCGGTGCAACATGCAGGTGGGAGCCTTCTGCCAGGCTTTGAGCCTTTAGAATAAAATAATCTGTGGTTTCAATTTTACCTTTAAAACAGCTCAAGTTAAATAAATGAACCAGGTCCGTGCCAGGGAGGGAGCAGGAAGCGGTGTTCATGTTTACAACTTTTCCTAGATAATAATCTGACCTGACCTCCAGACTCAGTTCTGTAATCCGCTCCCTCCGGGCATGCTCCTGAGCAGCACTTGTCCTACCAGGAATGAATCAAATGAAAACTCAGAGTTTATTAAAAAAAAGAATTAAGCTAACGCCGCCTCAGCTTTACTTCCTGTTCCCTGGGTGAGTCAAACCGATGACCTCTTGTTCCTCCCTGGACAAAGGAAGTGGTCGTTCTCAGGAATCTGGGCCCTGCTGGTTAACAACAAACGACTGACTGTTTCGAGGAACACACCAGAGGAGAAAGTTTCGTTTCTGCTGCATGTTTTTCTTATCTGTTGCCTGCATTCAGTCTGGGGACTTCCTCGACTCGGCCAGCTTCAGTAAAACAGAATCAAAAGAACCTGACGGACTGGAAACACGGCCGGGGGATTTAAGGACAGCGCTGCGTGACCTGAATGGGTTAACAGGAAAGGGCCTTGACAGGAAACTTAATAAAGCGATTCTGCTCTCCGTAACCACAGAGCTAACCCGTCACAGATTAACAATCAATCTGATGCTTGTTATGAAGCATTTAGCCTCAGCAGGATCGAACGACTCGCCCGACTCCTCAGATCTGAGTTTTAAAACTTTATTTAGGAGAAATGAGCCCACAAGGATGCCGGAAGATGTTTGTGAAGTGAAACTGCAGCTTCACAAAAGCCCACACGTGACCTCCTTCACCTGTGAGGTGACCTTTCCACCTACAGTTACAGAAGGGCTTAAAACATGACTGCCTACCTGCTTCACACTCACACACACGACCACTTTGTGTAGCTCAGGAGTCGCAGGTTGTCTGCAATCAGAGGATTGTGGGTTTGATCCCGGCTTCCGGCATGTGAATGCTGCCGCTGTGTCCATGGGCAAGACACATCACCTGCCTCGCCTCCGTTGGTGAGCCCCAGGGCAACTGTGTAGCTCACCAGCACCAGCTGGTGAATGGATGAATGACTCTGGCTCTGAAAGGCTCTGTACAGGTGCATTTATTGCATTGACTCCACGTTTTCCTTTCAGGTCGACCGCGGAACATCTTGAATGCTCCAAACCTTCTCCAGCTTTTGGAGCCCAGAAATGAAAAAGACCTGGAAACAACCTCATCCTTTCATTTATGAATGAACATTTAAACAAGCTGTTGTCCATCTAAAGCTGTGACATCTGAGCTCATTTCCTTTTCCTTCAGCTGATGTTTTATGCTTTTATGGAACGAGAGCTAAACGCTAACGATCCTTAGCTACAACCCAGGATTGGGGTTGTGGTCTATAACTCAGTGAATCATGGTCTGGACTGCTTGTTTCACACCGTGGTTTATTAATAGCCTCGTGTGCTGAGCAGCATTCACCACGATTCCGTGAAGACTTTTAGGGCACCTGCAGCTCGACGAGAGGAACGACTCCTGGTGAAGTGAAACTAAGAAAGAACATCTGCAGCAGATCTGTCCAGAGTCAATAATGTTGTCGTTGTCGTCGTCTTCCTCCGCTTATCCGGGTCCGGGTCGCGGGGGCAGCATCCTAACTAGGGAGCTCCAGACCGTCCTCTCCCTGGCCTTCTCCACCAGCTCCTCCGGCAGGACCCCAAGGCGTTCCCAGACCAGATTGGAGATGTAACCTCTCCAACGTGTCCTGGGTCGACCCGGGGGCCTCCTGCCAGCAGGACATGCCCGAAACACCTCCCCGGGGAGGCGTCCAGGAGGCATCCTGACCAGATGCCTAACCACCTCAACAGACTCCTTTCGATCTGGAGGAGCAGCGGTTCTACTCCGAGTCCCTCCCGAATGTCCGAACTCCTCACCCTATCTCTAAGGCTGAGCCCGGCCACCCTACGGAGGAAACTCATTTCGGCCGCTTGTATCCGTGATCTCGTTCTTTCAGTCATTACCCAAAGCTCATGACCATAGGTGAGGATTGGGACGTAGATCGACCGGTAAATCGAGAGCCTGGCTTTCTGGCTCAGCTCCCTCTTCACCACGACAGATCGGCTCAGCGTCCGCATCACTGCAGACGCCGAACCAATCCGCCTGTCGATCTCCCGATCCCTCCTACCCTCACTCGTGAACAAGACCCCGAGATACTTAAACTCCTCCACTTGAGTTAGGACCTCTCCACCGACCCGGAGTTGGCAAGCCACCCTTTTCCGGTCGAGAACCATGGTCTCAGATTTGGAGGTGCTGATCCTCATCCCAGCCGCTTCACACTCGACCGCGAACCTACCCAGCAAGAGCTGAAGGTCAGAGCTGGATGAAGCTAGGAGGACCACATCATCCGCAAAAAGCAGAGACGAGATTCTCCTGCCACCAAACTCGACACACTCCACACCACGGCTGCGCCTAGAAATTCTGTCCATAAAGGTTATGAACAGAACCGGTGACAAAGGGCAGCCCTGGTGGAGTCCAACCCTCACCGGGAACAGGTCCGACTTACTACCGGCTCTGCGGACCAAACTCACGCTCCTCTGGTAAAGGGACTGAATGGCCCTTAACAAAAGGCCACCCACCCCATACTCCTGGAGTGTCCCCCACAGGGTGCCCCTGGGGACACGGTCATAAGCCTTCTCCAGTCAATAATGTCTCAAAAAAATATGCAAGGGGTTGTGGGTTAAACTTGGAAGGTCTTGGCTGACACAGCTTGGGGAAAACCACAGGGTGCAGCTGGGAGCCATCAGTTCTCGGTCCAGAAACCAGTTTGTGGAAAAGCGCTGAGAGAGGAAGTCCAGCGGGGTCATCAGCACTTTCTGTTTTCAGATAATACATTTTCCAGAAATATTAGAAACCTTTCTAGTTTAGATGTTAGGATGCTTTCACCACTAAAACCAGTTTGTAAGTGGTCCATGTGGGGTCAGAGGTCATCTGCTCCATGGCTTCTGCTCCAGTAGTGGGGGGAGGAGGGGTCCACCACAGCACCAGTGTCACTCACAAACCCTCCACTGGTGTGTGCAGGAGGGGGCTTAGGACATGTCCCTGTGGAACACCACCATGCTGAAAGACCGTGGATCTCCACAGCTACAGCACCTGCCACAGCTGAAACCATGGAAACAGGGATTGTCAAGACATTCCTGCCACTGATTTCCTGGGAGAAAGAGAGGAATCAGGATCACATTAGAGACCTAAGAGAAGCGTCTGGCTCTGAAGCTCTGAGTTCAAATCGCTGGCTGACGGGAACGATGGTGGAAGAAAAGCTCCTGATTTAGCTTCACAGAAACAGCAGCAGCGAGAAACTTGAAAAGAGAAGTTTTCTGTGTGAGGATGGAAGTGTTAGGAGGTGTAGCCCGGCTGCCGATGTTGACCCCTCACCGACCTGAACACGGTGGGAGGCTAAGAGAAGAAGAAAGAAGAAGAAGAAAATATCATTTCTATAGCGCCTCTCAAGATAAACATCACAAGGTGCTTCACAAAAACAAAAAATGTAAAAATATAAAAAAGAATTTAGAAAATGATTAAAAATATATTTAAAATGAGCAAAAATAGACAATTGTGATTAAAAAATGTAAAGAAGAGAGAGAGAGAGAGAGAGAGAGAGAGAGAGAGAGAGAGAGAGAGAGAGAGAGAGTGAACAGGAAAGAGGGACATCAGTGGATCCTGAGGAAGGTGGAATAGGTGGGGAGAGCAGAACAAGGAGAGGGTGATGAAGGTCCCACCAAAGCCTGAACAGGTGAGTTTTCAGCTGCTTTTTCAAGGAGACCACTGAGCCCACTGATCTCAGGCTCAGGGGGAGAGAGTTAACACGAACACAGAATTAGCAACATCCTGATAAATCAACATCTTGACCCTTTTCCAGAAGTCACAGCAGCTTCTGACGGATGTTTGCGTCATCTTCTGCCGCAAACGCGGGACTCTTTTCTGCTCACCTCATCCTCATCATTGCGTGTTTATTTTATCCTGATTTAGTCCTTTTTTATGATCAAGTCAGTTGTTTTAGCTCCATTATGGTAAAAAATACATTTGAAGACATGAATTATGTTTTATTTATGGAGTTTATTTGATCAGAAAAGGTTTTGTTTTCAAATGAAGACAATGATCAAGATGCAAAAACACAAACTTTATTTGTAAGTTTGACAAACAACAACAACAAAATCACAGTTTTGGATTTACAAATGTGTCTACCTGTAAACCTACAGTACTCTAACAAACCTGGTTCTTACGGGCTTTACAGTCGGGGCAAGTGGAGGCAGCTCATGTGGGAACCCTGACCCTAATCCTAATCCCAATCCTAACCCCAACAGACAGACGAAACATACAGAGCTAAAGTGGCAGCCTCAAACAGAATTAACAGGAAATCATCGTAAATACGACGTAGTGATGATTCTGAGATTCACTGTGCAACACGCAAATCCTGAGACGTCAACGCAGAGTTCAGCCTTCAGGCATCTTCTCTGCTCCTGAAACCAAAGTGAAGACGAGCGAGTGAAGCCGTGCACGAAGACTCGGGTCAAATCAGTTCAGCGGCGATGGCAGGAAATCAGAAAGCTGCAAGAAAATGATGTTCTCACCTTTTTTATTCTCACTGCTGTTCTCCTCGTCTCTTCTCCAACGTCTTGATGACTTGCTTCACCCAGGCGTTCCCTTCAGGGTGGGCGGCGCACAGCTTCATGTTTCTCCTGTTGAGGAACCTGAGGATCAGATTTCTGGTTAGAGAACCTGCAGATGAGACATAACTGAGCTGTGGATGTTTTCTCTCTCCACTGAGACACTTACACGGTGGCACTGATGTCGCAGCCCTTCCCAGCCTCCTGGATGGTGTAGCTCACAAGGTTCTTGGAAGGCAAACGCTTCTCAGTGATGCTCAGGCAGCAGTCGACTGGGATCTGAGCTGCAGGCAGGGGGAAGACCAAGTCGTCAGCGAAACCTTGCAGGTCGTGATGCAACCCGCACAAGGAGATGAGACATCGTCTTACCTGCTGCAAACTCGAAGCAGATGAGGCCGAGCAAGATGAGAGCTGCTGCGCGGGAGGCCATGTCTCTTCGTCTTCGTCGGTCTGGTTCTGGTTGCTTTTTGGAGTCTCTTCAGGAGTGTGAAGCTGCTGCTGCTGTGGGGACACGGCTGAGCTGCAGGTGCATTTATACAGGTGTTTCGATGGAAAGTGAAAGTTTGACGTCATTGACTGGAAATGGAAAGCGCTGGCAGCAAGCCAGCACACGTTGCCAGCCAGTGACAGCATAACGTCCTCAGCTCCTGCCAAAAATGTCTCCTGAATGTTGATCTTAGATGTTTTATTACTCATAGGCTGGAGTTCGCTCTGCGAGACCGGAACGGCTCACGTTCGTTGTACTGATTTGTTATTTTTATGAATAACATTTTAGGAAACGTAACAAAATCTCAGCCACTTGTTTCAGACGTTTCTTTGTCTCGGGGACAAATGCAAATTAGAAAAATGCAATCAAACGGGATTGGGATTAAAACCAAACCCAACATTTATGATTGGCATGAAAGCAATTATTGAAATTTAATTTCAGTCCTGCAGGGAGCTGCAGGCCCACAGAGGGTTAAAACATGTGTCGTCTGAACTCTACAAGATCTTTAGCAAACAGGGATCAGATTGTTTTTCTGCAGCTTTTCCTTGCAGAAAGACCTGGACCCGACAAAAGCAGCATCAGGGTTTACTGAACCATTCGTCTCTCGCAGAGCTGCTGACGGTGGCGTGGATTAGCTGACTGCTGCAGCTCATCGGTGTCTGATGAGGGAAGAAGAGGCTGAAGGCATGGACGTAATTTTCACTTTAGAAGTGGGGGGGACACGGGGGGGGGGGGGTATCTTTACAGGCTTCAACACAAACGGTTGCTTTCCGCTTGGTCCTAGAGCTCAACCAGTGTCAATTTAATATAGTGTAATATTGTTTTTTGGATGGTAAAAAGTACAGGGGTCAAAACTTGACTTTGAAAAAAGTGGTGGTGGTGGTGGGGGGGGGGGGCATGTCCCCCCTGTCCTCCCCCAAAATTACATCCATGATTAGTGTATATTTTTGGGGTGTTTGAACAGAAGAGAGCTGTAGTGAAACGCGGGTGGTAAAAGGCGTAAATGATGTCATCTTAACAGCTATTCTCAGGTTTTATTAGCTGTAATCTATGTGGTGACGGCGAGGTCGGGGATTTTTATGGAACGTGTGCCGGCAGCCCTTAAGTGTGTGAGAGCTGCTTGGAGGCATGTCAGAACTGGAATCGCTTTGGCAGATCCCAATCTGGGAACGAGTGACGCTTTCCCGACAGGAAGCAAGGAGAGCCCAGATTTATGCAACATTTCCAAAGTCTGCGACCCACATGGAGGTGAGACTCCTCTGTGATGTCTGTCCACAAATTTCCCTTCATGTTGCGTCATTATAATAGTTTTATGTGTTGTCGTGAAATGTCCACAGACAGTTTCACAGCCTGACATTTCCACGCTCACTGAGGACAAAGTCGTAACGGCTCAGAACGTTTTACAGGCTGAGCTGAGAAGACTCTGCAGATTCTGATAAGGAGGAGGTGAACGGATGAATCTACAGAAACATGTGAGAGAACAGGTGCATGAACCTTTACTTTCATGAAGTGTGTAAATATGAAGCAACGATACATTTATGACGTGAAGACCATAAATACACATTAGAATTAAAGTCATGACATCAAACTTCATCTGAAAACTTGAAAATTAGAAAGAAGTGGAAGCGCCACAAGGAGACAAGGTCCGACAAAAGTCCATTTTTCATATCGTATCGAACTGAATCGAATGGAATTGAATCGCACTGTAACAATGAAATCACATCGACTTGAGCCGTATTGAACAGTACTGACTCTCCACTGGACAGGGGAGCCATCGTCAGATAAGCGGCTGAAATGGATGTGTAGGAGCCATTATTGTTTTGGTTTAGATTATATTATGGTCTAAGTTTATTTTGATAATGTTTTATGTACATTTCAGTTTATTGCACTATGGTTTGTATGTCCTTTGACCACTGGTGGCACTGCGGAGCCTATAAAGGTGTTGAGGCTGCAGTGCACTGGCGTTTTCTGGGTGACGGGAGGTCACACGGTTTTTACCGCTTCATTAGGTTTCATATGCCACATCTAATTTGCCATTATAACTTTCATCATTTACATAAACCTGGACAAGAAATAGCCATTCTGGACCCAGCTTGTGATCGTCATCATATTCAATAAATGGGACAATAAACCCAAACCCGCTTTCTGCCTGGACAATATTGTTGAAGCGAGTCATTGCCTCCACCCGCACCCGAGGGTGACTAAAAGTGGGACTTGATAGTCACTACAGGATGGATGTACTGGATCAAATCGAATCGTTCCGTACTGAATCGAACCGTGTCACACTGCTGCAGTACACTGAACCACTTGCCTCGTATCAAAGCTCACGGTAACCTTTTGTGTTGCATCATCCGACACTTAAATGAACTTCCTCTGTTGGAAAGTCAGGCTCGGGTTTAGAGATGAGAGAAAAATACATAAACAGAGAATAGATGTTGCAGCTCATTGAATCTGGCCTTTTCCTCTCCTAAAATCATATTTATAAAATAAATATTCCACGGGATGATTTCAGGTCTCGCTGAAACCCACCCTTAAAGGGGTCCTGGTGGGTGCATGGGAGTTCGCCCAACCAGTCTACATTTGTTCTGTGGATTTGGAGAAGGCGTTCGACCGCGTCCCTCGGGAGGCCCAGTGGGGGGCCCTGTGAGGGGTACCCCGGGAGTATGGGGTACCAGGCCCTCTGATATGAGCTGTTAGGTCCCTGTAGGACCGGTGTCAGAGCTTGGTCCACATTGTCAGCAGTAAGTCGGGCTCGTTTCCAGTGAGTGCTGGTCACCACCATGTCATGGGCATTCTGGTGATCCTTTTTCCAGGATGCTTTCTGCTGCAGGTGAGACGCTGACTACTCATAAATACTCCGTACACCTCCGTTTAAACCACTCTAACTGCTAGACTGACCTCTTCGCTAGCACCAACTTGCATATTTTAACTCCGGTAGAATCAGCTTCTCTCTCTTTGCAAACAGGAAGAAGATAAAGGATGGATTTTATGTCAGATTAATTCACACATTCCACATTTTTATCTCATTTATTCATCTGACATCCTAATCTGTCTTTGTCACACAGGCTGCAGCCAAGAATCGGCCTCTGACTCAAGAGTGTTTTATCTACTTACCTCGCGAAAAAGTGCAAGTGATTTGTCACCAATGGAGCGAACCGACGTGAAGCTGGATGTCTCAGAGCGGCTGTGGCTTGGTGCCGGGTCACGGGACGTTTCTAAACTTAAATCTTGTCAGTGTTCGGTTCTTTGGCTCCGATCCCAGTTAAACAGTTAGAAACGGCTGGCTAGTGCTTCTGCTCACCTGTTTTATTCAGCCTAATGAAGAACAGACATGTCAGTTCTCCCTAAAAACACCAGATCTGATCTTTCTCTGATGCTTCTGGCTTCACTCCACAGCCAGACTGAAAGACAGATCAATAACTGAATTGTAAAAAACAGTTTTGTTTCAGAAATGCAAAGCGAGTTTTAATTGCTGTCCGGGTAGGGGGTCGTAGTGGTGAAGTTTGCTTACAAAAACAGACATTTGTGTGAAAGTTGACCTAAATAAAATTAAAAAACTGGATAAAGTTATGCATGGAGCTGTTTGTACTCAATAATCCTCTGTGCACCAGAGCTGCTTTGACTAAACGTAATTGAGGTTTGGAACAAAAGATCTGTGCACACCAACATGCAATAAAAAGGTGTGCGCGTTTGTTTTGTTGATGCTTGATCCGTGCATTCATGCTCGAACCCTGAAGACATCCACCTCCCCGTCTGGCACCATCCACCCTGCATCAGCGCAGTTCCCACAGCAGAAAAGGGACAAGAATGGGAGTGAAAAAAACAAAAGCACGTGGTTTCCAGGAAACCCTTCAGCTCCAAGTTCAGATTTACTGTGAAACAGAGAGAAGTTTCACGACAAACCCAGAAGGTGCACACAGACTCAAAACTCGTCCCGCAGCAGAGCCTGGATGCCGGTCGGTGTGTTTGAAGTGGTTGTGGTTTGGTTTCAACAGCTGCACGTTGGGCTGACGTCCTGCAGAGAGATACAGAAAAATCATAATTCCCTCTTGTTTGTCATCCAGAACTCCTCTTGGACTCCAGCGCTGTAAGGTCAAAGGTCAGACCCACCCCAGGACATGAACTCAGCTCAAGCGGCTTCATTTCTTTTATATCAGAGCGGTTTTATTCTATTCGTTTTATTTTGTTTGGTCATTTTTATTCTTCTCATCTGGGCGACGGTGGCAGAGGAGTTAAGTGCTCGCCCCGTAATCGGAAGGTTGCAGGTTCGAGCCCCGCTCAGTTTGTCGCTGTCGTTGTGTCCTTGGGCAAGGCACTTACCCCACCTGCCTGCTGGTGGTGGTCGGAGGAACCGGTGGCGCCAGCGCTCGGCAGCCTCGCCTCTGTCAGTGTGCCCCAGGGCAGCTGTGGCTACATTGTAGCTCATCCCCACCAGGGTGTGAATGGGTGAACGACTGTGTTTTAAAGCGCCTTGGGGGGGTTCCAGGTCTCTAGAAGGCGCTATATCAAATACAGACCATGATCTATTAGTCTGTTGATTGAAAGACTTTCGAATCAGTAAAATTGTGATTGTTTGGACTGGATGCGCCTTTGGGAACGTTTTACCGCTCTGTGTAAACAGCTTGTGCGGATTCATCAGCAGGAGGAAGGAACTGATCCACAGTGACGAGATCAGGTCGAGACTCCGGAGTAGGAATTTCTAACAACTGGCACGCGATGGGAGAAGAAATGGGTCTTCTGGGCGTTGGAACCAGATAAGACCGTGTTCTGCAAACACGGAGGTGTTGTCTTGTTTTAGCGCCACAAACGAGGACGCACCTGAAGTTAAACTTGGACGAACTCTTCATCAGCAAACGTAAAAATTCTGCTTCCGACAGCATTCCTATTTGCAGAATTACTTTTGGAACCGCGATGTTCATTTAGCACAAGCTGCTTGTAGAAAACGCTTTTCTTAACTCTGAAAGTGAACGTTTGGCCTTTAAAGTGCCACGGACTCTTTCAGGGGTATTTTAAACTCTGCTGTCACCCACCGAGTC